TGAAGAGAGCTTTCCAATGAGGTAGAGAACACGCAATTTGGAGTTGTACAGTGGAAGTTATTGGACTTGCAAGATTTGACTTTTTAGGCTTCGTGTTTTTCCCCGGAACAACTCCAAATGTTTCCGTTTCGTCTGTGATGTTCCGTAGTCCATGTTTTCCACTCCTTTTGCTCTCTTTTATGCATGAATACATGTTTTGACACCAAAGAAAGCAACCAAGCAATATCGAGACCAAATGTGCTCTAGAATGCCTATAAATATGCAAAACCGAGTAAAATGTACTAGACATCGTATACCAAAATGTCACCAAAATACATGTCATCAAAAAGGTAGATGCATCTTGTTGCTATGAGTAATTCAATCAATTCATTTAAGTTATTTTTGATTGTGTAGTCCCATACATATACAGTCCTCGGATCCCTCTCATTCTGGTGCATTCGATTAATCCCTGTATCCCCTACCCAGAAGCTCGTCAGGAGCCGCTCCTTGTCTGTGCATCTCGCACCGCGCTCACTCCTCACACTCTTATAGAAACCCAGTCTGTCACAGTCCAATCTAGCTCTTTTTCTCGGTGTCTCCCTTAGTACGTTCGGTGTACGTGCGGGTATTGGTTTGGTCCATCCGGTCTGTGAGTCTAGACCGCTCGACTAGTCGTGGACCATGTCAGTTTATGCATATCTCAGATTGTAAGTGTTTGGGTCTGGTCTGTTCGGTCCGTGAGCCTGGATCGTCCGGACTAGTCGTGCAACGTGTTGGTCTGAGAGAGTTTTCTGGGTTTGTTCCATTCGATCTGTATGTTTGGATCGCTCGACTGAGTCTTTCCCTTCCTTTGGCCCGTCTGAACCATGTTTGGTCATTAGTCCGTTCAAACTGCAGTTCCGGCCCGTTCGGACCAGGTTCTGGGCTTGCCCAGAATTTTGAAATCGCGGTTCCGAGGTTTCGATTAGTTTTTGGTTTAATTCTCATTCGTTTCTTAATCAAATTTGATTTCGTTTGTTTCTACATGTTCTTTGAAATGTTTTCGTTCAATTTCATGCATTAAATTACCAATTCAAACATAGTTGGATGATGAAAATAAGACCACAACAAGCTAACTCGAGCCACTCATCCCTGTTTCTAATCGGGTTTGGTTTGGCCAGAGTATTCATGGTGGTTGTGGGTTCCTCTCCGTCGGGAACTCTTCCTTGGCACTTTAGGATGACCCGTTAGACTTACACGAGCCCTCTCTTCCTCTTCTCCTTCTCTCTCTTCTCTTCTCTCTCATACTTTTCTCTCTTTGGTTTCTGCAGATTTTCTTCAAGGTTGGGTGACTTGGGAGGCTTGGAAGAGGATTCTGCAGTAGATTGGGAGAGCTAGGACGTGAATCATGGCATGGAGACAGGTTGGGGTCTCCCACTATCGTCCTAATGCATGGAGACAACGATTGGGGCCACTTTGTCGCGCATAATTCGTGGACAATAATGTTGCCGACAGTTTGCCTTGGGTAGTCCGTTCGAACTACCTTGCGTAGTCCATTCTGTCTTTCTGGTTTGTTCGGACTGGGTTTTTGGTTTACCTAAACTGACTCTGTTTTTCTCTATTTTTCATGTCTTTTCGACGTATTGGGTTCCGTTTATCGTTTGACTCATATTCACATAAATTTTCTATGTTTTAGGCTTGTTTTACCCTTTTTTATTCCCGAAAAAAATTAAATAATTCATTCGAGAATCAGGATATTACAGTTTTAGCCTATGCGCCATATTCAGATCAATTAGCCTCCTGATATCAAGACCACCTTCTGATTTGAGTTGGCACTTAGGCTCGTTTGGTCTTTGTCCTTTGTTCTTCGAGCATGGTTCTGTTGTTGGGGTTATTGTTGGGTATCTTCTTCTCTTATATTGTGGATGTTATTTCTATTATATTCTTTTGTTATGATTAGGGACGGTCATTTTAGATTTTGCTTCAGTTATATTCGAGTTTAGTAATTTCAAAAAACTATAACTGTAATACCCCGGATCCTGAAGTAAATATTTAATTATTTTCGAGAATATATAATTAAATAAATGCATATAATAATTCGGGAATGGAATGAAGAATACAATGAAAAAGAGTACGATGCCAAAAAAGTCAAAAAATGCTCAAAAAATAAGCAAAGAAGAGTGTGAAAATTTATCTTCAGTCCGGACCTGACCAACTGTTGGTCAGTCGGACCAGGACACTCAGTCGGACCAAACGGGGAGGAACGAACCAAGAAAAGAAATAAAAATGGGAAAAACTGAGTTGGTCAGCCGCACCAAGACTTGGTCAGCTCCGGACCAACTCAGTCAGCCGGACTTGGACAGGACGGACGGACCAAGAGAAAAATGAGTGTAGTCCGGACTTGGTCAGCCAGACCAAAATCTGGTCAGCTCCGAACCAAGCGACAGACAAACTGTCGATAGACTTTTGGTGTGCGATTTTCTCACACATGGGCGGCCACAACACACCTAATCTGCACCAAACCGACAAAAGGAGACCCCAGCTACCCCTTATACTCGTACAATCATGCCAAAACTGTCTCCTCTACCCTAGAGATCCCCTCTAACAGATCAAGTGAGCCATTTTCAGACTGAAAATTGTCAAAGAAAGAAAAGAGAGAAAAAGAGAGAGAGGGAGAGAAAGAAGAGAGGAGGAAGAGGGAGCTCGGGAAAACATTGAGGAACCTCCCTGAAGTGTCTAGGAAGAGATCTCAAGGTGGAGAAACCCAGAAACATCAACCAAGCTCGGCGAAATCAGATTCAAAAAGAATCTGATCCAAGAATAGGTGAGTGGCTTGAGTTGCGTCTGTGTAAGCTCGTTTTCATCGATGTGATTGTGTTATCTCGATGATTTGCTGATTGAATTGGATAGAGGACATTGCAATGAGAATTTAAAAATAAACGGTACTTAATTTGGTTGAGAAACGAGAGAGATATGAGTAAACGAAAACTGTGGAAAAATCGAAATTGCAGAATCGCGAGTTTTTGAGGTACAAGAGTTACGAATTGTTTTTCATCGTGTATACATGAGATTTAAATAATCTATTACTTGGATATGAAAAAGGACATCCCAATGGACATTTAGAAACAAACGGTGCACGATTTGGTTAAAACAACGAGTGAGTCATGAGCAATCGAAGTCGGACCAAAAACCTGAAAACGCGAATGGACGAACTACCCAGTCCCGGTCTGTCGGACGAGCCACTGGTCAGCTCCGACCGAGTCTGGGACATTTTAATCCGCCTGACCAAGCAAAATATGCTGAGGAATCCTGGTCCGCCTGGACCAAAACCTTGGTTCGGCGGACCAAACCTGTTTTGGACCAAAAAATGGTTCGATCAACCAGTTTCGCGGGGACGGACCGGATCCTGTCCGCCGGACCGAATTCCGGTCCGGACCAGACCAAAATTGAGAGGAAAAAGAAGATAAAATGAACAAATTGAATGAATATGTGAACAAAACTTTATGCGCACGCACCGAGTTCTAAATTTGTAATCCGATTCGTACCACTATCCGCAAGTATACGGTAGTTGTAGTACCGGGGTCGATCACGAGGACTAGGTTGTGTTAATCCATTCTTAAACTAGATCAAAGATGATGGAAAATATTGATTGCAAGGTGTTTGTGAAAATGTAAATATGAAAAGAGGATCAAATAAGCAAACGAAACTTGTGTGATGAAAACGATTGGACACGAATGTTGTGGGTTCGGGGTCCCTTTCACGGGTATGGATGTTCAAAATGTGATGGCACTCATGATCATCATTTCTAATTGGGGATTTCAAGGCTCTTTGTGTAAGATCTTTCTCTCTCAAGCTTAGATCTACTATCTAGAAAATCAACTACCCATCTCTCGATGATCTAGAGGACTCCTAGATGCATTAACAACCCCTATCATAAATCCTAAACAAGTCAAACCATCTCTCAATGTGAATGCTTTGTTCATTTGATGTCTAGGTCAAAACACCATTCTCATATATCTATGATCAATGTTGTTCTAAAATCATTCAATCAAGGTTTTGCCAAGATCAAAAGCATGAAGGTCAAGACATCAAACCAATAGAAATAACTAAAAGAGTACCATAGATTGAAACCCAACATCCATACAAAAAGGAGGACCCCTCCCCCACAACTAGGGTTCTACTCCATACTCAAAGGAAGAAAACAAGAAGAAACAAAGGAGAACATGATAGAGAAGAGAAAGGAATGCTTAGATTGGTCTTCAATGGTGATGATCACTTCTCTTCTTCTCCAAGTCTCCCAAGCTCCAAGTTTTCCCCAAAGTGGTTTCTCCCCCTTTCAAATTGGCCAAAAGATCCCTTTTTTTCTTTCCCTCTTTTCCCTTTTGTTCAGCTTCTTGTAGATCGACAAAGGCATAAGACTTACACTCGCTCCCAGATCGCATAGAGCTCGATCTATCTCAATGTTGCCCAACTTGCAAGGTATGGAGAAGCTTCCCGGATCCGACATCTTCGGAGGGAGTTCGTGTCTTGTAATGGCGGCACTGATTTTAGTGCTTAAGGCCACCGTTTCCTTTTCTACCACTCGCTTCTTAGTCAAAATATCCTTTAGAAACTTTGCATAGGAAGGCATTTGGAGAATCGCTTCATGGAATGGCATCGTAATCTCCATCTTTTTCAGCATCTCCGCAAACTTTCCAAACTGACTTTCTTCATTGAAATTTTTCAAATTCGTAATCTCCATCTTTTTCAGCATCTCCGCAAACTTTCCAAACTGACTTTCTTCATTGAAATTTTTCAAATGAGAGGGAAAAGGGATTGGGGGTACCTTAGGTGGTGGAGGAATGTAGGCCGGCTCCTTTTCCTGGGTGTTCATCGTGGAGTCGATTTCTTCCACCGCTTTGCCTTTCTCTTCCCTCGTTAGCCTTGGTGTTGGTGCTTTTTCGCTCATGGGTGGACCGATTTCCGGAAGTTGCTTTCCACTTCTCAACTCCACTGCATTAATGTGCTCTCGAGGGTTCACTTCACTCTTTCGGAGGGCCGCCCTAAAATGAGGGTAGGGCGCCCGTCGATTGCGGGTTCGTTGCATTTGTTTGGTTCTTGTAGGAGAAGTTTGGGTGGTTCCTTAACCCGGGATGGTATAGGTTGGAGGGGTGGTTGTATTGGTTTGGACCAACATAATTGGCTTCCTCCGCTTCTTGATTGACCAAATACATCCCCGGTTGGATTTGTGCTGAACTTGGCTCCTCTATAGCTGCTACTTGCTTACTGTGCGCAAGTTGTATCCGTATCTCAGCAAGTTCAGATAACACTGCCTTGAGTGCTGCTCCTTCTCCCGCATCTCCCTTTGTTGAGCCCCTCCTACTGAACTCATTTGATGTATGGCCTCGCCCTTTGGCCAACTTTGCAATTGTTGCTTCTAGCTCTTGAAAAGGGATGTCATAGATGTCACCCCCACATGCCGCATCGATCCATGATCGAGTGTCATCTTTTAATCCATGAATGAAGATAGATAGGAGGTAATCTCGTTCCATTCCATGGTGAGGGCACATCCTTTGGTATTCTTTAAATTGTTCCCATGCATCATGAAGATTCTCCCCATCCTCTTGTATAAAAGCATTGATCTGATTCCTTGCGTGTTGAGTTTTGGTGGGTGAATAGTATTGCATAAGGAACTGCTCCTCTATCTCGTCCCAAGATGAAATGGAGTTTGGCTTAAGAGTGTAGAGCCAATCTCTTGCTCTCTCCATGAGTGAGTATGGGAAAGCCTCAAGGAGCACATCTTCCGTGGTGATTCCCGGCCCTTTCTTTATCGCCTTACAATTCATCTTGAAATTGGTAAGGTGAGCATTTGGATCCTCATTGGGCCTACCCCGGAAACTCATGTTGTTGAGCATTTGGATGCATTGTGGTTGGAGTTCAAAGTCCTCCAACGGCTCCTTGTTAATGCAAGAGAGTAGTTGAGTGTGCTTCGGTTGTGTGTACGTTCGAAGCGTTCTAGGGGCCGCTTGGGCTGGTGGTTCCCTTCGAGCATTGTTCTCTCTCAACAAATCTTCGGCCATTTTCCACTGTCTTTGTTGCTTCCGAGTAAAACGTACAGTCCTCTCAATTTCTGAATCAAATAGAAGTTGATCCTTGTCGGTTGTGCTTCTTGTCATACACCGAGAGATCTGCACGTAGAGAAGAGTGAAAAGAACTTGATGCGTAACACTAAGAGATCCCAAGTCCCCGGCAACGGCACCAAAAACTTGATGCCTAGTCCCCGGCAACGGCACCAAAAACTTGATGCGCACGCACCGAGTTCTAAATTTGTAACCCGATTCGTACCACTATCCGCAAGTATACGGTAGTTGTAGTACTGGGGTCGATCACGAGGACTAGGTTGTGTTAATCTATTCTTAAACTAGATCAAAGATGATGGAAAATATTGATTGTAAGGTGTTTGTGAAAATGTAAATATGAAAAGAGGATCAAATAAGCAAACGAAACTTGTGTGATGAAAACGATTGGACACGAATGTTGTGGGTTCGGGGTCCCCTTTGACGGGTATGGATGCTCAAAATGGGATGGCAATCATGATGATCATTTCTAATTGGGGATTTCAAGGCTCTTTGTGTAAGATCTTTCTCTCTCAAGCTTAGATCTACTATCTAGAAAATCAACTACCCATCTCTCGATGATCTAGAGGACTCCTAGATGCATTAACAACCCCTATCATAAATCCTAAACAAGTCAAACCACCTCTCAATGTGAATGCTTTGTTCATTTGATGTTCTAAAATCATTCAATCAAGGTTTTGCCAAGATCAAAAGCATGAAGGTCAAGACATCAAACCAATAGAAATAACTAAAAGGGGGACCCCTCCCCCATAGATTGAAACCCAACATCCATACAAAAAGGGGTTCTACTCCATACTCAAAGGAAGAAAACAAGAAGAAACAAAAGAGAACATGATAGAGAAGAGAAAGGAATGCGCATATCCACCTTATTTGCACGCGAGGATACACAAACCGTCTCCATCACAGAACTAAACATGCTCAAGGAACCTCTCCACTTCATGATGAACAACCGTCTAGAGGTTGCGGACGTCGCGTCAAGGGTAGCACTGCATATGCACAAGGTAATCACTTCCACCACTGAGTCAATTTGCTTTGGAGGAATCGTAACCATGATTGCAGAGCGATTGGGGATCGATCTTAGAGCATATGCGCATGATTGCATCCACGGGGACAAGATCAACTATATGCATCTTTTGGAGAACAAGTTTGTCAAAGAACAAAACGGGGACATATTATGGAGGTTCGTGGACGTCGAGAGTAGGTATCGATCATTCGACATGGCCTATTTCGTGCTACCTCCTCTGACCGAAGAAGGAATCCGTTTTGAAGTTTCATCGGACCTCGGCACAGACTCCGGACAAGAGTCCTCATCCCACGGGTCCTGCTAAAGGCCCGCTCGGTCCTCCCTCTTAACCCTCACCCCTTGCATTCATTTCAGCTAACATCGCATAGTATTGTAGTTTCCTCACATTGTATAGGTTTCATGGGTTTACGACACACGCAACAGAGAAATTGGAATGCGATTCCACCTCATCGGACAAGGCAACACAACCACCCCTTTCATTCCATCCATTCCTTATTTCTCTTTGAATTCTCTCCACTAGACGAGAGTCAACACCGTGGACGGTGTTTGATTCAAGTCTGGGGGGAGGAGTGACACTAACGTCTATCGTACCCATGGACTCTACACATTATGCATCATTTGCACTTAGAAATCATGCATTCCATACTCTTGAAAAAAAATCCTGCATTTGCATCTTGTACATACTTGCATGACTTGTCACTAATAGGTTGCATCTGTGCATATACGCCTAGGAATGCATGCATACACTTGCATAAGGTTTTTCCTCTTGAAGATTTGGCCGGATAACGATGTGGAGGATATAGACTGTTGGCTTGGAAAGGTTTTAGGAGCTAAGTTTAGATTGATCTAAAGAGTTGAATGGATTGTCGAGTGAGGTAGAAATAGCTGATCCAATCCTAGGGCGAATGAACATCACGTGGGATGATTTTGTCT